GCCTTTGGATTTAAGCTCAGTTCTCACCGGTGAACTATCCATTCGTTTGATGGATACCTCACCCTGGACTGACAAAACACATCTGTTCGCTTAATAGATACCTCAGTCCATGCATGAGTCTTGGTCTAAGCCTAGACTCAAATGTAATGGATATCTTGTTTTGATTGTCGCCATTTCCCTGCACTGCTCTGGCAAAATATCAATCACAAGTTTCAATAATCTATTTTGAAGATTACAAAGATATTATAATACATATCAGTTGCTCTTACCAGTTGTACGTCAACTGGTTGTTTAATTTTATGAAACGGTTAAGCCATATGCGGAATTTATCCATATGGATAAGCTTACAACCATTATAAAATGTCCATACAGGCCCTTTGCTAAAGACAAGCATCAAACAAAGCCATTGTATGCAGTATTACATCGTAGCGTTTATTGTGCGATTTCATTATTGCAAGCGTTTTGTTTATGTAGAGAACACTAGATTGGGTACAGATAATGATCAGTCAGATGTACGAATACCACAGTGAAGATTTCATGGGTCAGTTTTGAAAACTGTTATTTTGTAACGCTGAACAAGTATCATCAAAAGAATTATGCATACTGTATTGCTGGGAAATTTCATGACTGAAATATCCAAAAATAAGGAACAATTGTACGCGATCATTGCGAAAAAATTTCTTCCCTAATGAAAATATGTCTTCCTTGGAGCTTTGATCGTCAACCATATTTTATTGTCATACAATATAGTTTCAATTTTTATTGCGCTCAAAAATGAAGTATGTACATGGAACTGTAGTAGTTGCTCCCTACTGGTATCAACCATAAGAACAGTTTATAAAACATGAAGAGATAATAATGTACATGAAATTGTGAAAAAAATCACTGATATTTCGTGGGGTTATTCACATGATATTTACAGTCGTGACGAGATCTCGTGAACTGAATACAAACCTGATCTCAATAACGTATATGATGCCAGCACTCGCTTGATGCAACTAACTCATTCCTCAAGATTGGACGATAAACGATATTTACACTGATCAAAACGAAATTATTTTAGTTACTTTCTTCCAAAATAACTGGGAAACTTTGATGATGGGAAATTCTATTGAGATAATCAATTGCACATTCAAAATGAGAAATTTGGTTGCGCATGAACCGAGCGAGCTCTGAATGCATACGTATACAATGAAATGATCACCTAAATTGATTTGAAGGAAAAGTTCT